CCTGGCCCTTGAGATGACCCCACAGTAAAACATCCATAGGGGTCAGGTCGGATGAGCAGGTAGGCCAGTTTCGACTGGCACCGCGGGATATCAGCCCGCAGCAGGTCACCGAAGTGGTTTTCGATGCACTTGAGCGCTGTTTTGCCATGTGTGGAGGCGCACCGTCTTGCTGGAACCACATAAGGTCTATGATGAGGCTGCCATGCTTCATTTGGACTCGCTCTCAGAACTTCCTCAGCGCCGCCTGGTATGCGCTGTTGCTTGACGGTCACAGTGTCGCCGCTCCCTTCCTCGAACCAAAGTGGACCCACGATTCCTTTTCCGCTGAGGGCACACCATTTCGGTGACCTTGCTGCTGTGCAGTGACTTCTTTATCATCTCATCTCAAGGGCCAGGTCTACAAGGAAGGTCTCTGTGACCTGAAGAGAGCGATCACCAAAACTGTGTGAGCCATACCAGCTAACATGTGTCGTCGGGCTATCGCGTCAGCCACCATATCGGCCGCTCTGTGGCTGTCTCGAGAAGGCGGTCTCTTCGAACATTTGCTGTGAGAGACTGAAAACGAGAGAAAGCAGATGAGAGTGATGCCGTTATGAATTTCCACGAAATTTACTCTCGTTTGGTACCATATCTAGTCACATGCATGCAATAAAGCATGTTTTATGCGAGTTCAAAATGTGTCCATCCTTTTTGGTCCACCCCAGGGTTGTGCTTGACTCATGAGTCGAGTCAGAAATTTGACTCAACTCTGACTCAAATGAGTCAGATTTGAGTCGAGTCGGATAAAATGTTGAGCTGTTGAGTTCAGTCAGAGTTGAGTCGGACAAAAATATTAAGACGTTGAGTTGAGTCAGAGTTGAGTCAGAAAAATAGCTTTTGACATTGATTTGAGTCAAACATCCCCCCCCCCGCTTAACAACTTAGCCGTGGCCCTGCTGCTGGATTTTTTTTTCACCCCCCCCCCCAGCTCAACAACTTTTTTATCTGAGTCAATTTTGAGTCAACTCAGTTGACTCAACAAAAATTGAGTCAAGTTTGAGTCAACTCATATTTTCATTCAGACGCTTGAGTCATGAGTCGAGTCAAGGGAAAAATCAGCTCCTTGTTTGAGTCAGAGTTGAGTCAGGGCTTTCTGAAGTTGAATGATGAGTTGAGTCGGCAAATTTTTTAGAGTCGAGCACAACCCTGGTCCACCCTGTAAGTACAGGACTGTATGTATTTTGAAGTTTTGTTCAATCGCTATGAACATGAGAGGTGACTGGTGAAACCCATATGCTTACCTAGCAAAGCTCGTAATTATACTTAACTTACCTACAACATCGAGACAAAGCCCAATAATCCACCCCTGCAATTGACAATGCCTGCCAATGCAAAAAAGCAAGGCTTTCCCGTTCACTCACCTTCAGTCATTTATCTGTGCGTCGTCTCACTCTCCACTGGATTCACACTCGGGTGGCGACACTGAGAAAAAAATTGACTCCATATGGGTCAAAACTCTTGAAAATGCTCCCCTAAAAACTCCTGAAAACCATCGATAACACCCTTTCCAGCAGAGTTATTGAGTGTGTTCTTGGGTAACTTTGAGCCTTCCTCATTTTGCGAAAGAGTTTTCAAGAGTTCTTAATGGATGACGAAATGACTCCATGTGTGACACCCCATAACTCTGTGACGCAGCTCTCCATTACTCCCGAAAAACTTTTCCCGAACGTTCCGACAGGAGTAAAAGGGGAGTTACGAAGGGGTTTTAGCATACGTAGCGAGGCTGCCGGTGGCCGCCATCTTTTGCGCGTATAGTATACAGCACGTTGTGCGGGGCGGCGGGCGAGGTGTTAGTGAAGAGCGTGTTGCCTTCGACGGACCTGACCTATACAGTGACGGATAATTGGACCTTTCTTTGGATTTAAAGGTAAGCTTAGCTGTATTTCTCATCATGCTTTTATAGTGCAAAGTGTTATAATGTTGTGATGAGAACTTATGGTAACCCCATGCTCTTGATGGGCTGGAATGGTCTCAGTAAGGGTAATTGATTTGTTTCGTTCCTGAGTGAGATAAAGATCGGAAACAGCATGCTCTGAGTTTCTAGGTATTGGCAAATGTCATGCATTATTTCCCTCGAATAAATTGGAAAGTAAGTATTACACACGCTTTAGGTACACGTCATGGATCCTTTGTTATTGTCCGATTGTTTTAATATCCATGTCAATGACAATTATCAAATTTGAAGGGCTTTCAAAGCAGAGCCAGAAAATTAAACTCTGCCTACCTCTCAGTCTCCTCCCTGATTTCTTTCTTCCATCTTTCCTCGCTTCCTTCCTCACTCCCTCCTTCCCCTCCCCTCTCTCTTCCTTTCTTTCTCCCTCTCTCCCTCCCTCCCTCCCTCCCTCCCTCCCTTCCTTCCTTCCTTCCTTCCTTCCTTCCTTCCTTCCTTCCTTCCTTCCTTCCTTCCTTCCTTCCCTCCTCCCTTCCTTCCTTCCTTCCTTTCTTCTTCCTTCCTTCCTTCCTTCCTTCCTTCCTTCCTTCCTTCCTTCCTTCATCCCTCCCCTCCTTCCCTCCCTCCCTCCTTCATTATTTCCCTCCTTCTCTTTTTTCTTTCTCCCCCATTTCCTCCCACGCAATGTTAAGTGTACGTATAATTTCATGGTTATTAACATTTTGCAGGAGATGAGCTGGAGAGCCTGCAGCGCATCCCGCAAGACACGTCGGAAGCCAACGGAGGCACGCAAAATATCCATCCCACCATCGTGAAAGGAGAGCCGGACGAAGAAGACGCAGTATTCGTCGAGGCCCAGGAGGTGGTAGCGGCACCACCAGACCAAGCATTCCTGCTGTGGTAGGCCGCCTTTTGGATTTTTTTACATCAAAACTCGCGACCGTGTAGCATATGAAGTGAGATCCCCGGAGAGCGTGCCGCGGCGGGATGTCGAAAACGTTTGTCAATTTTTTAAGCCTCCCACCGCCCCGGACTATGAATACACATTTCTTGAAATATATTTTTTTATCTGTGCTTCGGTACACGAGCTTTGGGTGGTTACGCTATTCGTCCAATATTTATTTTCCGGGGAGGGGAGCTGGAGTGGAGTGATGGGAAGTTTGGGTGAGTCTGATGGGGACTAACTAGAGGTATACCATGAAGCTGTAAACGGAGTTTTGGGGAATAATGGAATGGAGTAATCGGGAGTAATTTTGAGGCAGTGAGAGAGTCATTGAGAGTCATGGAAGGGAGTTTCAGGGAGTATGTTGTTTGTTTTGATAGGGTAAAGGAGAGAAATGAAGAGTTTTCTAAAACGGTAGGGAGAGTTACAGAGAGTTTCTCGAGGGAAGTTTTTGGGTGTAATGGAGAGTTTTGGAGGGGGTGTAATGAGGAGTACCATCTGGGAGTTTTGGGGTGTCGTTTTGGTGAACTCCCCCTGGGGGTGTCATGCGGAGTCAGGATTTTTCTCAGTGCGGCAGTTTCGGCAGCAGTCGGAACAGCAGCGGATGCCGAAGGCAGCAGCCTGAACGCCATCCGACGCCGCAGCTGCCCGCCGCGTCAAAGACACCATCTGAATAATTCTGACCGGCTCACATGCATATGCATTGGGCATAATGCAGGCGGCATGACGCCTGCTGGCCAGCCGGCACACAGGGAGTCGGTCAGGCGATGGCATGTCACTGACTCAAAGCTCGACAGCTGCAGTTCGGTGAGCTTTCTCGTGGGCTTCTTACGAGAGCAGCTGCGAGATAGGCCTTGACTGGTCAGCAGGACGGCGGCTGTGGGAACATTTGTTTGAAAATGTCGTGACATAGTGTGCTTTTTTGTGCTCTCAATGATGGGTTTAATAAATGGCGCAATTGCTTACCAACATACAATGCAGTTTTAGATTTGGAAGCAATAAGGAATAATTTGTGTATAGAACTCACTTAACCTGAAGATGATGATGATAATCCTTGATGAACCGTCTTTTTATCCTCTTTTATTATGAGGATGCACACTAAACGTTAATTTCAAAGAACAATCGTTTCAGGAATGTCTGGAATAAAATTATTATACAGCCTGAGTACGATCGGGCCCTGGCCTGCCATGCATGGACCCATACGCCGCTCCTCATGTGCCGCGGCCACGCTGGCAGCACCGTCCAGCACCCTCCCCCATCCCCACTGGGGGGAGGGGGGGGGGTCACCACGCCACCCATTTCGACACCGTCCGCTGCCACCGGCCAGGTGGCAGCGCAACAAAATGGCGTCCCGGTCCCACGGTCACTTCCGGGTGCCAAACTCCGCCCCTGGGCCCGCCCATCCCACTACTGTCCCGCCCCCTCCCGACCTCCCCTTCTGGGGGCCTCAGTTGCAGGGGTACTCCGCTAATGTATTGTGGATCGTTACCTTAACGGTGCGCGACTGGAATCGACTGACTGGCGAGTGAAGGGCGTATGGAGCGGCGGACACGGAAGGTGACCTGATGTGACCTGGGAACAGAAAACCTGCAGAGAAGTAGCAGCATGAGGTGGGTGTTGGGAGGGGCTCCAAAAATAATTAGAAAAAAATTAAAAATATGTCAGATGCGTGTTTGCTGCTGTGCTGCTGACAGTGCTGCTATGCATTTCGGACAGATATTTCCATTCTAGTGGGATACAAATATTGATCTAAGGCGTATGTAATATATTTCGTCTGAGTCCGATCTCCTTATACCTACCTTCTTGCTTTTGAAAATAATTTCGTGCGTATAAAGCAATTGTATAAATAAAAGCGCTACGTCTTTTGATTCCGACATGCTAACTATTATAGCCGCTTATTGCAAAAACTCTTTGCTTTACTAGGAAGCAGCTCATGAAAAATTAGGAAAAAGTGGTGTCCCTTGCATAAGAGTGCTCGTTTTCAGACGGCTATATGTTGCCGATGAAAAGAACACAAAAAGAGCAATTTCCTTGCGCTTCCTCACAAACTGTACAAAATATAACTGCCTGTTTAAATTTGAAATAATAAATATGGTAAACAAAGCCAAGCTCAGCACAGAAATCATGTAACACTTCGATCCAAGTGTATTTTTAACGACATCTAAAATAAATACCATCAAAGCAAAAAAAGCAAAACATTTTCTTTCACACCGCAGGTAGAGTATCACATCGCAGAGAAAGTGGACGTTTGGATCTACTGGTAGCGGGGCCTGTAGCCGACGATGACGCGCTCATACTGGGGCTGGTAGTAGCCGGCGGGAGCTTCGTCATCATCGTCCTCCTCCTCAGGAGCCTCGTAACGCTCCTCCTCCTCATCGTCATCATCATCAGACGCCTCCGGGGTCGGGTACTCGGTGGGCACTGGGGTGGGCAGGTGGGCGCCCTGCGGCTGGAAGCCGTTCCCGTTGGCCACGTAGACCACCTTGTAGACGACACCGTCGTCACCGGTGTAGCTGAACTGGCCGTTGACGTCGTAGCTCTCCTCGTCATCGCCGTATCCCTCCACCGGCCTGCCCGACTCGGAGGCGTAGATGCCGTTCTCAGTCTCGAAACTGGGAAAGGGAAAGAGAAAAAAAAAAACATTGTTAGTCGAGTGTGCGAATGAAATATCGCACTTCTTTGCTTTCAACAGTAATTATGGAATTGCAACTTCAGATAGACTTGAGATGAACGTCATACACAGGTGTAAATAAGCGCAGCAACGTATTTATGCACCATATCATTAACTATCGAAAAATTTACAGGAACATGAACCCGTCCCAAGGTATACAAAGTCCCAAGTATGAACTTACTGAGAGTCGTAGGACTGGTCGTCGCGGAGCTCTGCCTCCTGCTTCAGGATCTGGTACACCTTGGGGGCGTACGTGGGGGCAGCGTAGCTGCGGCTGGGGGCGGCGGCGGCCACGGCCAGCACGGCGGCGAGAACAAACTGTGAAGAAAGACGCGCATTGTCATCACATTTGTAAAAATTACGGCGGTAAATAGTCATGCGTTGTCTCATCTCCTCTCTAGTTTGCAGAGAATTATGTATCCCGATACGTCATGTTGATGAAAACTAGTTTGAATCGATTTCATCCAAAAATGTTCACGGCCTTACCAGCTTCATTTTGTGTGTTGTTGTGGATCTGTCTGTGTGAGATCTGATGCCGGTTCCATCCTCCGGTCCTCCTTTATACCGTTCCTGTGTCTGGGTAGACTGGTCAGTGGACAGCTGTCGCCCGATTGGGTCAGCGAAGGTCACACTCACATCGAAGGAATCCACTGTCTCACTCGACTCGCTGACTAAACTGGGACGAGGAAGACTTTCTAATAGTTATTAAAGAGAGAAGATAGGTAAAAAGTTGACAGCTCCTCGACATGTAAATGCTTTTGATTGCCAAAAAATATATATTGATATTTCAGTTAACAGGCCTTCCTCAGAAGGAGACAGTGTATACAAGTATATAAATGAATCATTATCATCGATTATTCATTCATCATCATTTAATTTCATCATTATCATCATCATTTAATCATCTTTTTTTTTGTATTCTCGTACACTTGTGTACACTGTCTTATTCTGAGGGAGGCCTGTTGGCCGAAATCAATGCATATTTTTGGCTATCAAAGTAATCTAATTGTCGAGGAGAGGCCAACATTTACATATTTCCTCTCTTTCATATTCATAATGTTACTCGCACGAGCGCTCCAAAGCGTAAAATTTCTGATAATTATATCAAATATTTTGAAATGTGTTTTTCACATAATTTGAGTGATGCCGAAGTTGAAAATAGCATCTTCGTATGCAGAGGTTGAAGAATAGCATCTTCTAGCGTAATTGCAAAGGATGACTCAATATTTCAGGAGGCTATAATAGGCGAACTCGACACTCCACGTTCCATATTTCTTATTGCTTTGGATTCAATTTTGTATAAGACGGCTTACCACCATCTTGGCAATGTCTTGGTTTAACTAAGGTGCGACAAATGATCTATTTTATGCGTCTCTGCTTAGCCTGCGCCTCAAAACGACGAAAAAGCGCTGTGACAAAACTGACCGGAATTCATAGGCGTAGGAGAAGGGGGCTGAAGGTCTATGCCCCCCCCCCCCCACTTCTCAGCCATTTTTAAGAAATCTATACTTTTTGATTTGAATACAAAACTAAGAGCAGGAAATAGTTCAGAAACGTGAGGTGAGCACAAAACTGCAAAGAATTTCTTCATAGGGTATTGGGTTCCCACAAAGTGGCGAAGTTTCGCTGGCTTCCGAACCTCACTTGTCGTGAGGTTCCTACGCCCATGCCGGAATTAACGCAATTTTCTTACGTAGCTGTATGTTATATTGGAGCTGTGTCTTAATTGTATGTAAATAAATGGTAGATAACACAATTGGCGAAAGTTGTTTTCTTTTTCTTTTCTTTTTTACACCAGAGCGCACACTGAAAACAAGTTGAAAGAACGTAATGCAAAAGCATCTTAAAATATTCCACACTTAGGTTTTTTGGGTATTAGGGTAAACTGGCTTAGAGGCGAAGCAGAACGTCTGGTTCATGAAGAACACACACAGTATTTCACATAGACCGAAGACACGTGCTGCTTCTTCGCGTGCAGTCTTAGCGGCCCCAGGGGGCTTCAACTCAACCAACACCGGTTCTTCTTCGTTCTGCCTAGTCACGTGACATGACGTCACACAAAGCGCGCGAAAGATAAACCCTTTGAAGGTTTTGCACGAACTAGCATCGGGTTTAAGAAGAAGGGGTTGTGGTTTAATCAGTGTAATGGCTTTCATCAAGACCACGCCCGCGGTACCACGTTCTAGCGTCCACCGGAAGCGATCGCCATTTTCGATCGCGTTGGATCACGCTTTGTGCAGTGACGAGCGGCTGGTGCAAGATTGGGTGAATGGCAAGTAGGTAATCGAATATTGAAGAACTGAAATAAGGTTAATTTTTGGCTTGTGAAGTGTTGTGTATTATTTATATTACTTGTGATTGACAATGATAAGCAATTCCACAACGCTCTTCAAATGCATGGATGAATGCATTGGATGAAGAAAATTCATATGCAAGACCAATCAATGCAGTAAGTATTTATATGTTGTATAAATGCCCCATAGCTTAAATTATGCAGTGTGGTATTTAGACAAATCTTCCAAATGAAGATAAATCAGGAATAGAATCAGCTTGCCATTTTGGGGTCAACTAATTTAGGTATAAATTTGGCTGATCTTAATAAGCATATATTCTTGCTGATTAGTGCAATATTTTATCTAGCTGCGCCTGCACTTATATGTTAAGTGCATTATTTTATTGTAATAGAATTTAAACAACCGAACACCAGTAATGCCCAAAAGTCTCTCCTTTATTCACAAAACTCTCCAAACAAATTTGCACGTACAATTATTTCCGCGTGGAATAATTTCACGCACTTCAATAATCATACCACTTCTGACACACGCCCCTCTGATCTTCAAGATCACTAAAACGCACACACACAAAATATCAAAAACATTATCTTCGGTCATAAAACCGCGGCCAAATCGTGCACCTTAATCGGTCAACAAACCGGAGCACTCGCCGCTCACCACCCGGGCACCATCACCGGGCACCATCGCCGGTCTCCAGCACCGGTCTTCATTACCGGTCTCCAGCACCGGGCTCCATCACCGGGCTCCTCCAGCACCGGTCTCCAGCACCGGGCTCCACGACCAGTCACCATCACCGGGCTCCATAACCGCGGTCTCCAGCACCGGGCTCCATCACCGGGCTTCACCACCGGGCTCCATCACCGGTCTCCATCACCGGGCTCCATCGCCGGTTACCATCACCGGACTCCAGCACCGGTATCCAAACTGGACAAAATCGAATCGATCGTTGGTTCGTTGTCGTGTCTTGCCTCTTCGCCATTTTTAGCTTTCTTTATCTTCCCTGTCGAATTTTCCCTTATTTATACAATACCGTAACTAGACCGAGATAAGGCCGAAATAGCTTGTAATAGAATTTAAACAACCGAACACCAGTAATGCCCAAAAGTCTCTCCTTTATTCACAAAACTCTCCAAACAAATTTGCACGTACAATTATTTCCGCGTGGAATAATTTCACGCACTTCAATAATCATACCACTTCTGACACATTTATTTTTGGAGAAGGCTCATGGTCTCTGAAGTCAATCTAAGTTTCTTTACTCCCTGCCTGTTGAATAACGCATCCGCCCGACTCTTCATTCTAGGGGACGAGGCCATCTCCGCTCTGATTGAGGCCCTGGAGTCTGAGGAGAGCGTCCTGGCGCGCGGAGACGTCGACATCGTCGAAAACGCTGGCTTGAAGCTGGTGGTGGAAGGAGAAACTGTATGTGATATGGGAGAATGCGATATCGCCACCCGGCTGGGCGGCTGCTGACATGGGCGATAGCGCATACTGTGTTTGGGAAAACATCCACTTGCTAAAGCTAAAAATGTGTTCAGATTTGTACAGACAGCAACCCTGAGCGTGAAGGGATCAACCTGAATAATTAAACATGCCCGAAAGGCTCTGGGTCTGGAGTTCTTTGCCTTGGATGTGTAAGGCAAGTGACACGGCCGGAGGGAAAGCGTTCTTGCACGCTGATTGCGGGCTGAATGCGGGCTGGTTGCGGGCTGATCGCATGGGCTGGTTGCGGGCTGGTTGTTCCTGACTGGAGACTTGCAGGCTGATTGCTCAGAGTAAAGAGGAAGGTAATACATTTTAAGGTGTATCAAATACTGTGTTTGCGCAGCAGAATATGTGACGGCGCAGGTCGATTGCCATGCATGGGAGGTTCAATAGACGAATGAACGGGGATTTTGCGGTATTGCAATAGAACTGAAAGGGTTCTACAACCGATATTCAGAACACAGGGTGGTTTCCCTATAAACCTCAGGGACTTCTTCACAGACCCTTTGGGGTTCTTATCTAGGTGCTAGGAACGCTCTTATTATAAACCCTAAACCTCATTAGAGTCTTTGGAAGAATCGTGTGGATTCTTTTCATAAGAATGCAAAGCCGTCTACGTGATGAACCATGGGGGTTCTGAAAAACGGTGGCATAACATTTTACCCCACAGGGGTCTAAATACCCCTGTAAGTTCTTAACGTTCTTCCAAAGTGTTTTCAGTGTGGGAGGTTCAATAGACGAATGAACGGGGATTTTGCGGTATTGCAATAGAACTGAAAGGGTTCTACAACCGATATTCAGAACACAGGGTGGTTTCCCTATAAACCTCAGGGACTTCTTCACAGACCCTTTGGGGTTCTTATCTAGGTGCTAGGAACGCTCTTATTATAAACCCTAAACCTCATTAGAGTCTTTGGAAGAATCGTGTGGATTCTTTTCATGAGAATGCAAAGCCGTCTACGTGAAGAACCATGGGGGTTCTGAAAAACGGTGGCATAACATTTTACCCCACAGGGGTCTAAATACCCCTGTAAGTTCTTAACGTTCTTCCAAAGTGTTTTCAGTGGAGCTGTTGGATCCGACAGACGACGCTAGGCCTGGGACAAGCGTGGAAGACCCAAATGACGCCACCGGGAACTGATAGCAATAGCATCTACACATAAAAGCATATAATATATAATAAAACATAATAAAAACGACTTCCTGTATTTTTTCCAAATTATTCAGAGCTTAATGCTTATAACTATACTTTATACCTCTAGCCACAGCTGCAGGATGGTCGAAATATGGGTTGTTTTTAGCGAGATCTAGTGGGCAGTGGCTCGACATTTTTTCTTTTGAAAATGAAGTTTACGTACTTAACTGATTACTCTGCAAACGATTGTGTCCCTCCAGAAGTAGGGCCCTTATCGATATGTGAATTGTGAGCTTTTCAATGTTTATTTAGGGAGCAGTCGATCACTCACACTCAAAATCTCTACTTATTTGCTTTGGTCCTGCAGACTTCGAGCGTAGTCTGGAGCAACGTTCTGTGAAAATGAAAAATAAAGAAATAGGCAAACAAAGTTCACTTGAACCATGGAGCACATTTGAGCCCGGTCATGATTTTCAGTAAGACCGAAGTCCATGCCACACAAAATAATGACCTCTCTACAGTGGCGCAGCCAGGATTTCGTTTCGGGGGGGGGGGGGGGGTCATCGCCTCCAAAGCGGGCCCCCTAGTGTGCGGGCCCCCACCCATTTTTCAGAATCTTTCCATATTTCATACGCATTCTGCTGAGCGGGCCCCCTTTACCTGCATGATAACCCTGAGCGAGTTTGAATCGGAAAATTTTGATAGAACAATAGTTCGGTAATCACCCGGTGTTCAATTTCCACATGAATTGACCATGACAGAAATATGTTACTATGACGTATGAATTCGTATCTTTCGAGGCCGAAATGTGCCCCTACTGCAATATGCATAGCATATATGCAAACTGAACTGTTGTCTGCTTCTGTCGGACAAGATTTAAGCAGTCCCACGTGCCTGTCCTAACTCAGTCATCTATTGGCTGCTGTAGTAGATTGTGCTTTATTCTTCTTCATTACGTGATTTCGCTCACAAGCAGTTTTAACCCTCGCCGGCACAGGGGGAGGGGATGATGCAACATCCCCCCCCCCCCCTAAGGTTTTTCGCGAATAACTCGGGTAAAAATCGGCCGATCGCGACCAAACTTTCAGTACCCTCGCGTTGATCACACCTACCCTAGAAATTTCATGACCCTGACCCAAATGGCCTTTGACCTGTGACCTACTTTCCGAGACCATGTTTGGCCAGAATCGCGATTCGGCGTATGCCGGCTCGCATTAGCCGCGCGTTTGCAGTCTTTCGTGGTTTCAAGCATTCAAACATGTGAGTTGATGCTGCTCCCATGCATTAGGGTGGATGTCAAGGTCACCTGAAGGTCAGGTCAGGTCATTGACCTATGATGACCTCGGTACTTTTTCGAATTATACATGTTTCCAGGCTAGTTTTTGGAGCTGAATCCGAATTTAGCAACCATTTGAACATTTACGAAGTAGTTTTGGTGCCTTCGTAACATGTTACGAAGCTGCCAGAGGCGGCTGGCACGTAGGTACTACGAATACCCGGCAGGACCCCTACTGGTTGACCTGACCTGACCTGACCCGACCTGGCTTAAATGCATAAAGACATCATCTGTGATCAAAACTAACATGATAACTATTCATGATCAGTACCCCGAAAAACCCTATAGCAGCCACAATTAACGACGTTCTAACAGGTCCCGATTTTCCCGATTTTTCGGTCATTGACCTGACCTGGAAGGTCAACCAATGACCAAGAACCTTAAAATTGGGTATCGTCGGCTTCCTCTCGTCACGGGGAACACGCTCGTATTTCCTGCGAAGCTCTAGCTCGATCATGGGCCAAACACGAAGGGGTCGTACCACCTTGTGCCGTCACGAAGGAGTCGTACCTCTTGTGCCGTCGAAGGACGCAAAATGTCCGGAATGGCCTGTGCCGGCGAGGGTTAACGCGCTCATATGGGACATGTATTGCCATGGGCCGGGTTTGTTGTGGCGTGGTGATGTGGTGACGTAGATTCTGTCTGCTATCGAGGTCCCAGCATGGTGTTACTTAGCGTGGGGTACGGGCCCGACCGTTGCGCCAAGTGCGCTGAAATTTGCGCAACTTATAGATTAAGGATGGGCAACGTGCCTTTGAGGGTCTCAGCTCGATCGGATTGATAGCGAGCACATGACGCGTGCTCAAAAAGTGCAAATTCGCGTTATGGACTTTACATGTATGTATAAATCGGCTTGCAAAATCGGGCGAAAATGACTAAATTTGCCAGACACTGGTCCGGTCCCCGTGCAGTATCTCGGTAACCGTGGGCCCAATCGCCACGGGGTATCGTGTAGAGAATCGAAAGGGCTATCGAATGGTGTGCGGTGCAGGGATGGCACGCGCCACGTGCACCCGTGAGGGCACTTATACTGGGAAATTTACGTTTCGGACAGATTTGGGACTTAATGCTATTTTCGGGTGACTGTTTGGCGGAGCGGGTTCAAACAACGCCTGTTGGCAAAAGAAATGTACCGCCTCTCATGGAAAAATTGTGAAAAGCTAATTGATCAAAAACAAGGTGGAACAAATCGCTGGAGAGAATGGTATTTGTTAATGACTTACTTAATTACACGGGTTTTACTGCATAACCTGGTACGTTTGACAGTTGAAAATGGCATAGTTGGAAAGAGCATTCAATTTTGTCCAAAATCCAATCATCGCTTTTGCATGACGAGCAACAGTATTCTTAAAAATATAAATGTTGGAAACCTCTACATAGTAATTCATCGATGGCTGTCATTTTTCAATAACCTACGTCAACCGTTGTTATAAACTACACATGACATGTTCTATAGTAGAACGCATGCTTATCAGACACGAGCACCTCGATGCAATGGATATTTTTTCCCAATCCAAAATGCTTAGCCGTCAAAAAGCAATCAACCGAAATGGATACATCACCCACGGACACAAGACCAACCAAATGCCCACCGATCGAAAATACCCCTTATTCGCTTTGCGGAGCAAGCGGGTCACCCTAGCGGGCCCCATTCAACCAGGGGCCCGGGCCCTATCCACACGGGGGCCCGGGCCACGTCCACCTGGGGCTCCGGGCCCCGTCCACCCGGGGCTCCGGGGCCCGTCCACCAGGGGGCCCGGGCCCCATCCATCCGGGGGCCGGGCCCCGTTCTCCCGGGGGCCGGGCCCCATTCACCCGGGGGTCCGGCGTCCACCCGGGCCCGAGGCCCGTTCTACCGGGGGCCCGGACCTATCCACGGGGGTCCCGGGCCCCATCCACCCCGGGGGCCCGGGCCCATTCTCCCAGGGGCCCGGATCAATTCTCCCGGGGCCCCTGGCCCGTTCTCCGGGAGGCCCGGGTCCGTTCTCCAATCTCCCGGGGCCCCGGGCCCGTTCTCCCGGGGGTCCGGGCCCCATCCACCCAGGAGGCCCGGGCCCGTTCTCCCAGGGGCCCGGATCAATTCTCCCGGGGGCCCGGGCCCGTTCTCCGGGAGGTCCGGGTCCGTTCTCCAATCTCCCGGGGCCCGGGGCCCGTTCTCCCGGGGGCCCGGACCCATCAACGGGGGGGGGGGGGGCGGGCCCCATCCACCCAGGAGGCCCGGGTCAATTCTCCCGGGGGCCCGGGCCCGTTCTCCGGGAGGCCCAGGTCCGTTCTCCAATCTCCCGGGGCCCGGGGCCCGTTCTCCCGGGGGCCCAGACCCATCAACGGGGGGCCCGGGCCCCATCCACCCAGGAGGCCCGGGCCCCATCCACCCAGGAGGCCCGGGCCCGTTCTCCCAGGGACCGGGCCCGTTCTCCCGGGGGCCCGGGCCCCGTCCACCTGGGGCCCCAGGCCGACCCCTCACCCGTGGTGTCCCAGTAGGCATTTCTCGAAGCGGGCTCGTCCGATTAGATTAGGGCCTCTCTCCTCCCTCTCTCTCTCTCTCTCTCTCTCTCTCTCTCTCTCTCCCTCCCTCCCTCTCTCTCTCTCTCTCTCTCTCTCTCGCTCTCTCTCGAGCGGGCCCCTGACAGAAATTTCGGGGGGGGGGGTCAGCTGACCCTCTGACCCCCCCCCCTGGCTGCGCCACTGCCTCTCTAGTCTAAATTATGACCGGTTTCATAGGCCGGTTTATCGTGAGCTCACATTTTGTCACCTCTTCGAGAAACTGCTCGCTGTAATGGAATATTTCCCTGTGTCGCCTTACTAAAAGAATCGTGTCATGACATCGTGATAACGTCAAGCTGAGTTGCTAGCTACGTAATCGCGATCCGATCTTTGTGACATCAGTGTGTCCCCCAGAAGGTCACGAACCGACCAGCAACGCCCTGCTGACCTAGACACAGGGAGGTAGGGGGAGGATGGCGTCCTCCGGGGTACGGGTGCACTCTCCTGGAGGCAGAGTTAATTGTTCCGCTAACCAGTCCGTAAGCTACACGGGGACTGTATAAAAACGAACGGAGGATGGAACCGGCATCAGACCTTCCACAGACCGATCCACATCAACACAAACATGAAGCTGGTAAGTATAGGTTCCTAAAAATGAAGTTTTTTCGTGATGATATTTCTACGATTATCACATTTCGTATTGCCGCCATAAGGTGATCATTATTATTTATAATTATTAAACATTTTCCAGTTGTTGAATTGAACAATAAACATCGTATAAGAGTTAAATTGCTTCCCTCCTTTTTTCGCAGTTTGTTCTCGCCGCCGTGCTGGCCGTGGCCGCCGCCGCCCCCAGCCGCAGCTACGCTGCCCCCGCCCCCCACGTACGCCCCCAAGGTGTACCAGATCCTGAAACAGGAGGCAGAGCTCCGCGAAGACCAGTCCTACGAATCTCAGTAAGTTAACGCGAGTAGTACTTATGGTTAATGTCGTCATAAATTCCCCCACAGACAGAGTGTCCTAAATATTCGCATCTGTTACGGGTATTTATTTATATCATTTCATTTACGCTCATCTAAATTCTATCTGTATTTGCGATTCCATAATCTCTCCGAAAAGTGAAAAAGTAAGACACGTATTTGGACCCTCCACTTACGACGCCTTTTCTTTTTCCTATTTTCAGTTTCGAGACTGAGAACGGCATCTACGCCTCCGAGTCGGGCAGGCCGGTGGAGGCATGGTGTGTCGTTTCGGGAACTAGCGAATGAAGTTTAGTACCGCCGTTCACCGGTGGATGGCGCTAGCTGGTAGTTTCGGCGAAAACTCCGTCTGAGATGTTTGAAGGCTTCCCTTAATCCCTTGTTCAAACATGGACCCCGTCAGCCCCGGCAGAGGTATTTGTCCAGTGTACACCGCACCTGAGGACGGGTCAGCTGAGGGAGGGGAGTCACTATTGTGGCCTGAGGAATGCCGCGCCGGTCGGGGGACGGGGTCGGGAGGAGGGGGAGGGAGGCAGCACCGTTCTTGCGGTGACGGGCTGGCTTGTCGCCTCAGCCTGGCATACGCTCAGTCGGCGAGGCGCTGCGCATGACCCGGGAGCAGCTGAGAGTCCATATAAACAATTGGCTCGTTTGTAAGCACGAACACTTGGAATGTTGCTGGTGCAGAATTTTAGCATAGGGACGATGTTTTTTTTGTGCCAAATTTTGTGAAGGTAGGTACATGTAGGGAATTTATAGAAATTTATTGAGACAAAGTTTCCCAAAAAAATTGGTCCAATTTTTAAGATATCGAGGTTTTAGTGACGTCATGATTTGAGCTTTCGAAAAAAACGACACATGTTTAAAGAAATCATGGGTAGGCACAGAACAGACATACAGACATGCCGTAAACGTCATTAGACTGCCTATACCTACCATGAACAATCAAATTGCCATCTTCGATTTTTGATTACCTATCGTTCTACGGTTTCCAAAATCTTGAATGGAATCTTGGCAATTTATTGTGACTAATTCACGACCATGATGAATGCATTTCATAACCCGCACCCCGCTGGGGGTCCTGGAATTACACGCCCTGCTGGTGGGCGGGGTGTTTGAACACCCCCCCCCCCCTTTTAGCTCGGCTCCTGGGCCATGTAGCGATACGGGGAAAGCGACGTTCGAAAAAGCGTAAGGAATAATGGCGAACTTTATACTTAAGTCACTTTTTCGGTCAGGTCAAAGGTCAGGTCACCAGAGGTGTTTTGGACCCATGCTACTGAAAGCCCAATTTCATGTGTTTGATCTGACCTTGACCCGACCTGTGACCTTGAAATTCAACTTTCAGGTGCTCATCGTAAGTGTCTCGTCGCGTTCTCTCGTTTGCCTTCTCGTCCGTTTTGCTGCGTCTATTGGTTCTTGAGTAGGGTAGCTCTATTGGTTCCCGAGTTGTGCGCCGCTTTTTGAAGAAAAAAAAATGTTGAAATAATCGGCTCAGCCGTTCTCGAGACCTGGAAGCGCCCCCTGTACGTGCGCACGTGCACTACACGTCGTGCAGTAGCACCTTAACCGCAACACATGGGAATGCATAGCCTGAAAGCATACATTGCACATATATGCTTTCATTCGTTTTTTTTAGTCTTGCACAGTAATAAGCTAGTTTTTGTTTTAAGCTCAGTCGCGAACCTCTGAGTCCACTTTACAGTCCTTGTCCCAGCCCATCCACACTCACCACAGCCCATCGATTATTTATATTTGAGGGCCCAGCCCAGCCCGTGACCCAGCCCAGCCCATGACCCATTGGCTGGCCCGGCCCATGGCGAACACTGCCATATAAGTCCACTCGCCAGAAAGCCCGTCGTGAAAACGGCTATTTTTCGGCAGACTGGCTTCCGCTTCGGGTATAACTTTGAGCCATTCAGTTAGCGATGTCGATTCGGCTCCGGAGTCGGAGTTAGTAAGATTTTGGTGACTCTGGGTTCAACTCCTATTCTACTGTCCTGGCTCAGACCCATTCTAATCTTGCTCCACCCCATCATTCAGATCGCAAATTCGCCAAATTCTAAGATCGATGGAGATCCTATATCGATAAAAACGCGCATCGATCTTATGCGAAAAGGCTCCAGACCGGTCACATGCATGGAAGAGATTATACCATGGAGCAACCTATGTTTTTGGCGGCGTTTCAAGCTAAGGCCGGTTACCTTAGTGTTCGTGCAAGCATCGTGCAAGTATCTCTAGGGGACGAGAATTGTTGACGACACGTGCGAAACGTCAGAAATTAGTGAAAAGCCTGTGTGAATACCACCGTCACTTATTTTCCTTCTCAGTAGCAGAAACCTTGGCAGTAACAGCAGGAGGTCTGTGAGAGGGTCAAAGCGTCCAACCCTTCCGGCGCCCGTGCCTTCGCTATCGCTTTCAGGAACACGCGCGCGGCCGCTATTGTGCGCCCGTCAAACCCATGGCCCGCCCTTTGACAGCGGGCGAGTCATCAGCGGTCCGCCCGCGTCCCTTCCTGTGACGTCACTACGGTCCTGGAACGCAAGCGAAGCGTAGCCCAGCGGTGCATTGTTGTCATTGTTGTGGGTACATACTACATAGGCATTAAAAACAATCCGCTCGGCTAGCATCATGTCTCTCTCGTCCAATAGTGTAGAATGGTGTGTAATTTGACCTCCAAAGATGAACATTTTTTAAGGTCGAGCTCATGACCTGACCGGTAAAACTCATGTGGCATCCCAATCGATTTCCTATTGTAAAACTGAACCCATTGCAGCTGTTTTTACTGCCTTTCCACGTCTCATTCACATGTCAATTGTCCAAAAGTGCTTTTTCGACCGCTTAACCCTCGCCGGACGCCGCCACAGGGGGGGGGGGGTATGCAACTATCCACTAAGGTTTTTCGCGAATAACTCGCGTAAAAAGCGGCCGATCGCGACGAAACTTTCAGTCCCTCGCATTGATCAATTTTACACCTACCCTGAAAATTCCATGACCTTGACCCAAATGACCTTTGACCTGTGACCTACTTTCCGAGACCATGTTTGGCCGGAATTGCGATTCGGCGTATGTCGGCTCGCATTAGCCGCGCGTTTGCAATCTTTTTGTGGTTTGAGTCGAACGTTCAAACATGTTATTTGATGTTGCTCCCATGCATTTGGGTGGATGTCAAGGTCACCTGAAGGTCAGGTCAGGCCATTGACCTTTGGTGACCTCGGTCCACTTTTTCGAGTTTTACATGTTTCTAGGCCAGTTTTTGGAGCTGAATTCGAATTTAGCAACCATTTGAACATTTACGAAGTAGTGTTGGTGCCTCCGTAACATGTTACAAAGCTGTCAGAGGCGGTTGACACGTATTAGGGGAAAGTGGGGTAAGACGGTCAGGGTAGGTAAGACGGGCACCCCTTCTGCAGACCAAACCAATAGCGCTACGAGCGAGAAAAATTAGGACCAGAATTGCCTTTCCCACTACACACCACCATTGAAGTCTGGTGAATTTGTGTTCAGTCGATAATCTTTTATTTTGATTTCTATAAAACACTCATTTCATTGAAAACATTTATAATGTATTGGGCAAGCTTTTATATGAAGCACTATAGAGTTAAAAACTCGCTATCACTTGTGGTACACTCATATGCCACCAGTGTCCATTTACTGCGGATTTGCTTTGTCTGCATCAAATTGTCCACGGAGAAAAATCGTGCTGAACTTCTGACATTGAGTTTGGGGTAAGACGGGCAACTAGTATGAATCCAATGGGTCTGTAATGGTGAAATATTTTTGTTGCTGTAGGAAGAATAGAAGCATTTCTAATAAGAATATGTTCGATTCCGATACTCACAGACATGTTAGCAATATTCCTTCGGCACAGTTTATTCTCGAATAATGAATGTGAAAACGGTTCTACATGGCTTCTGAACTACGGCCTAGTTATATACGAGCATACGCCATCTGCACGAATCTCGTATACTGCCATTTCCGAAGCACTTGAGACCAACGAGCGACTGTATCAATGCGGCTAATCTCGGACATTTGTTGCGAGCTGTGCTGGTCGGTGAAAGAAGCTGGCCGTCTTGCCCTACCCATGTGACCGTCTTACCCCATGGGGTGGGGTAAGACGGGTTTTTGCAAGGTTTTGCAAAAATAGCTGCAGATTATTTGTTGAATCAGGCCTAAGTCTCACCTTCTGGCAAATGGAAGTAAAATGTCTACAAAAGGTTTTCACCAAGTTTCCCGTTTCTATGATGTTTCTAACCGGCCGAAAAATGGCTCCAAAGTTAAGGTGCCCGTCTTACCCCACTTTCCCCTACGAATACCCGTCACGACCCCTTCTGGTTGACCTGACCTGACCTGACCCGACCTGGTCTAAATGCTCAATGACATCATCTGTGATCAAAACTAACACGATATTCGTGATCGGCACCCCGGGAAAACCCCATAGCAGCCACACTTAACGACTTTCTAATAGGTCCCGATTTTCCCGACTTCTGGGTCATTGACCTGACCTAGAAGGTCAATCGATGACCTAGGACCTTGACCCTCGCCGGCCGAGGGGGGGGGGGGCGGGTGCCGCCCCCCCCCATAGGTTTTTTTTCGCGATAGCTCCGAACACGCTGGCGATAGAGAGCTGAAACTTGGCATACCTGACCTTTGATTCAAGCCGGATCTTTTGGCACCAACCGCATTTTTGGGTCAGGTCAGGTCACTGACATATGACGTCATAAGTGAACCTCTGCACGGTCTTCAGATGTCGCAACTTCGCAACGCCCTCACTGCCAGAGGAGATGTCACAGGGAAATGAAACTTGCAGGATCTAGTATCCATTATGAGTCTCACAACTTGTATATCTCGGATTTTTCCTAAAGGTCATATGAGGTCAGGCCATTTTCGTGACCTCACCATTTATAAGTCAATGGGGAAAAATAAAGACTGCTATTCTGGCGACGGCAACGATCTACAACTATCTCAAGCACACAGAATCGTGATTTAATGCACTCCTTGCAAGGTTAGATGCGTACTTTTGCAATGTTGACCTTGCGTGATGTCATTTATGACGTCATCAAGGTCATATTATTTTTTCGTCAATAACTCTTGATCAAATTGAGCTAGCGAGTCGGGAAAGCCACCAATGGACTCAGAAAGACCTGCCGAATCGAATGATATGCGACATGACCTCTTTCGACCAACTTCGTGACCTGGGGGTGCTGACCTGACCTTGACCTGAGGTCAACACCCTAGGCTGACCTGACCCGAAC